TACATAAGAATGACTAATGACCTAAATACCCTTATCATTAATATGTAAGTTACATTTTAACCAAACCCAAATATGCAACATTATTGGTTGATGTGGGTTAGCAAAGTTTGCACAAAATATTGGGTTAGTATTTGAACCACCCTCTATATATATATATATATATATATATATAAATATAGGGGCCTAATCAATTGAGAACTTATTAGTTTGTGGTTAACTGTGAGATCCAACGTGAGCCAATCATTTAAGATAATTAATATTTTTCTTAAGATAACATCGAAGGGTAAATTAGTAATTTGGGTTGATTATTCCGTTTACTTTAGTTTAATACTCCAATTTACTTTAATTAGATTAATTACTTTATTTTGGGTATCACATTGCTCGTGGTGTGTATCGCAGTAGTCTCTAGCTCTCCTTTGAATGAATCCCCCCCATACACATATATACACACACAACGTAGGTATCATAGTGTAACTACAGTTGATATCACAATAGTTTCACAATTGGTATCATAGTGGTCTTGAAGTTTACTTGGTATGTTTTGGATATTACATTGTATGTATTTTGGGTATCACATTGTGCATCTTGGTGTATTTTGAGTATCACATGGTGTTCGCGGACATAAGGTTCACCGGAGGCCGGAAGTAGGAGAGACAGACAGAGGAGATAAAAAAAATGTAAATACCTAAAATGCCCTTCAATTAAAATTTTAAGTCAAATTACCAAAAATATTAATTTCCTAATTTATCCATTGATTTGTGGTTGAAATTGAATCTCACAGTTATCACAAACTAACCCGTTCTCCCTTGAATGGACCCCTATAAATATAAATATATACATATATATTGCATATGTTTCATGTTATAATGTTGTAGTGAAATAAATATTGGTATATATTTTTTGCATAAGGTATATTAATTTGTGTAGTATAATATATATATATATATATATATATATATATCTGGCCTCGGGCTGCCTCAAGGCTTACGCCTTACCTCATCATGGGAAAACGCCTCGAGGCCCGATTCCGCCTTTTAAAACTATGGACACAAGTCACTGGGATATTCATGATATCTACTAATGGTGAACAAAAACCATGTAAGATTACCATGGAATGTCAAGGTGTGTATGACATGTTGATATTGTTCCCAAAGATCGTAGCCTAAAATTAGAAAACCATCTTAACAACATTCCTAACCGTCCTATTTCCATTGATTTCCAAGGTGAACATGACCATCAATATTGTTCACAAAACAATCCAACATTAGAAAACAAACTCAATACCTCACTACGTGTTAGACTAAGTTAAATAACCTTATTATTGAGGGTATTAAAGTGTAACTGCTTAGGGTATTAAAGTGTAATTATCTGTCCTATATATAGGGCACGTATTATGTCTTTTAAATATATAATAAAATCAATAAAATCAAGGTTTGATTTGGTATCAGAGCCAATCAAATCCCTTCTTTTTCTGGCTTCAATTCAACCGATAAAACCTCCAGCCTGACCGACGTAACTTCCGGCGGCACCATTCCCAACCTCCGACGACCTTCAGACAGCAGACGCAACCCCCGGCAACTCCTCCAACTGTCACAAACCTCCAGCGGCATTCTTCCAGCCGTCACCTCTTCCAAGCTACTATGACCGCAATCATAACTCTCACTAATCAAGAGAAAACAACCCATAATTCTCACAAGTTTGCCTTCACCCTAAAACCCACGAACTATGGCTATTGGCGATCAATGGTCGAATCTTTTCTTACCTCTCACAATCTTTTTGGCTACATTGATGGCACTATTCCCTATCCAGAATCGAAGGTTACAAACGGATCTGCTACAACTGACAATCCAAGCTACCAACCATGGGTCTCCAACGACGTTCACATCCATATGCTCATCATCTCTACTGTGTCAGAAGAGTCCTTTCAACATATTCAGGGCAAAACATCTCGAGAGATATGGCTGTTTTTAGAACGAGCGTATGCTCCGGTTACTTCATCCCATGAATTTACTCTTAAAAATCAATTACTTCGAATCACCATGAAGGTTGATGAAAAACCTGCCGAATACCTCAGTAGAGCACAAGAATATGCAACTGCTCTAGCCAATATAGGCGAACCAATGAAAGACAAAGATCTGGTTATGCTAACCCTAGCAGGGCTTCGTGAAGAATACAATGGTCTCAAATCAAACCTCTTGGCTCGCTCCCCTCCTGTCAACTTCAACGAATTGCATGGTTTATTAAGTGACCATGATTATATGATTACAAGGATCTTGGCAACAAATCCGCAAGTTCCCCAGGCTCTCTTTGCGACTGCCTCTCCTGCTCAGCAGCCTCTTACGGCTGCCTCTACACCACTACAGCAGCCCAATTTCGACTCCATTCAACAACTTCATAATCTTCAACTCATGGCTTCCCAATTGAGATATCAACTGAACCCTGCAACTTCATCACGACCACAGGCTTATTTTGGATCCCGGTCTTTCAATAACCATGGTGGTCGTGGTTCTCGTGGATCTTCACGTGGTAACTCACGACCCGCTTTCAACTCTCGTAATCGTGATAGTAATGGCACACATCAATTCTCTTGGGCTTCTACTCAAAACATGGTGTATGGTCATTGTAATCGCTGTGGAATTGGTCACCTACCCTCTCAGTGTCCTAACCAGCCTAACCAATCCCGTGCAGCGCCACAGGCCAACTATGCTACTTACTTCGATGCTGGTTCGCAATCAGGATCTACTTGGAAGCCCGACATTGGCGCAAATCACCATGCCACTCCAGATCTATCTAGCCTTGACAACTCCGAGGCCTACTTTGGTAATGATTCTTTACTTGTTGGTAACGGTAACTCTTTGTACTTGTGTTGCCAATGGTTCCCTAAATGAAATGGGAAGCATACACAATTAGGCTTGCGGTATTTGTTATGGAAATCTTGTCTCTGCACTCCAAATTGTCTTTCACCATGCACACTGACAAATTCTTTCTAACGGATTGACTTATTGAGAAACACATTTTATAGATTGACAATACAAGGAATTGTGCTATACATTTTCATATGACCAAAGTCATTGCTTCAATTTTGATAGTAGGTAAAATTGACTGAAGACCCCCTTTTGCGAACAAGGAAAGAATTTAGAGAATATTATCTCATGGTATTGATCACAAGGTTAATCGTAACAAACCTCAAACAATTGTATTGCATTGATTGATTAAATGAGAGTACAATAACTATATTTATAGAGAAGAATTCCTATTGTAGTTGGACTAGGAATCCTTGCCATATTACATAGAGTTATATGACGGATAAATACTAATTACCATACGAGAGATATGGTTTGATACGCCACCTCAAGTTCTTGTAAAATTAGAGGTGAAGGTGGACGAATAGCAAGTTCCTGTAAAATTAGATCCATGTGCTTCTAGCCATAGTGTCACCTAACACATTGTACTCGGATTCGATCAAGGACCTCGTGGTCCTTTTTTACAATATGATATTAAGATTTAAGCTTCGGTAAATTGCAACCCTCCACCCCACCCCCCTCAGTTCAAGCGCGGTCATCCGATAGCTGTCCGAGTCGCCGAGTCCACTTTTGAGAAGGCTTTCCGGGTAACCGGTCCTCCATTCACCCACCAAACCCTTTTTGTTTGACCGTCGCTCCACCGGGGGATTGAAATTCACCTACGCTCCAATCTAATCTCATGGACCGCTTGTAAACAACAAACCATATCCAAGTCCTATATCAAATCCGAGTACAAAGCGTTAGATAATAATGCGGCTAAAATCACATGGCTCCAAGAAATTTTACAGGAACTTGGTATTCATTCACCTTCACCTCTCAGCCAATCTAGTCTTTCATGCTCAAACAAAATACGTAGGGGCTCAATAGCGGCTGATGTGGGACCAAAAGAATTGGCGGTGCTGACATGGTATGGGTGACGATGCTGTCGGTGATGGGTCAGCCAGGAATGGGAATGGACATGGGCGAAGGTGAAGGTGGTTTTTTTGAGGAAGGGATAGACAACCTCATTGAAGGCGGATGTGTCAAGCAATGTAGATGTGGTCAATGTAGAGATCAAGGCACTGGTACCCATGGTGCATGGGACTATAGCCAAGGATGACGCACAGAGTGGACCCTTAATTCCATTTTTTATACTACTCAAGCTTAAAAAGGTTTTTGTGTTAGTGATGTTCATCAAACATAGATAGAAAGTATACCAGATACTAGTATAAGCAAATGTACCAGGGATTTGTGTATTGAGATTGAGACAAAACTAAGTTACCTTGAGAACCACTCTGATATTTTCTCAGCATATGGAAGAAGGTGATAGTACTCAACAACAGGAGTAATTACCCAACTGCCTGAACTCTTCCTTACCACAGGGCCTTGTAAGCTACACAAAAGTAATACAGTCATATATGTTAGAAAATGCAAAAATCTTCAGAGACATTTCCATCCCAATAATATGCTTCTTTGAGATAGCCATTGGATGTCATAAACATGCATAACCAAAAAAATATATTACCTCCGTCCCAAAATATATGTCGACAATAAAAGCGACTAAGTTTAGACATGTAACTAGTTACACTTTTTAATCAACTAATGACAATTTCTCTTAATATTAGAGAGAGTAATGAATTTCTCCATCTCATAATTAAAGGTAGAATTGGAAAGTAGGCATTGACTTTTAAAAGTGGACACTTTTTTGGGACAAATTAAAATAGAAATGTGGACACTTATTTTTGGATGGAGGGAGTTGTTGTCTAATGGAATGATAAGAATGAGGTCTCTAATCCCTATGCCAAAAATCCACGTCCATATGTAATGATGGCACTAAACAGAGCCTAAGTGCTTCAGTAAGATAAATGTGCCATCAGGCCCAAGCACAATTTCCAAAGGTCTTAATTTTGATGTGTCGTAACTTATGTCAATAAGCATCTGATCATTATAACTACTGATGACTGTATGTGAATCTGTGTAGTCACAGAGATCAATTAATATCTTATTGCCATCTTCAAAACATGATTGAGCTGCTTACATACCAAATGATTTAGGTTCATTTGCAACAGGGCCTCAAAGGGGATACTCATTTATTATCATTACATATTATATTCTTAAAATAGCAAACTAAGGCCTTAAGGCTTCAGAAACAAATGTTCAAACTAGTACTAACCTACAAATAGCATCTTGAATAGGAACCAAACTATCCTCGCTGATTGGTTGGGTGCTTTGCACAATGTAAAAGCGAGTAGCAGTCTTTGCTCGACTCAAAGAATAAACTACATGTCCTTCCAAAACCACAAGTTCACCAGTGATGATTCCTGTTTCAGTGTATTAAATCATATCCAAGTATCAATAAAGTTCAGTTAAACTGTCAAAAAAGAACACAATATTACTAACAATCTCATCTCACTAGCAGTTATCATAACGGAGTTATAATAGTATAGAATATGAGCTACAGGAACATGGTGGATGGGGTGGAATAATAACAAGAGTAAATTACAGTTTTAGTCCCTGTGTTTTGTCTATATTCTTGGTTTCGTGCCTACAATTTGTTTGTTCCAATTTTGCCAGCATGTAGTTTGCCATTTTGCTCGGATTTGGTACCTCCCACTAACGGCTGTTAACATCCATCTGTTGAGTGAGGCGCATTTTGGTCTTTTGTCATTTTTAGAATGAAAATGAGAGAAAATTGAGATTAACAGATGGAAGTTAACAGCGTTAGAGAGAAGGACCAAAGCCGAGCAAAATGGCAAACCATGATGATAAAATTGGAATAAACAAATTGTAGGGACAAAAACGAAGAAAAAAAAAGCGAGAAGAACACAGGGACCAAAACTGTAATTTACTCTAATAGTTATCCCTTTAGGCAATCATGTGTAGGAACCATGTTGCTTGCTCTAGTATATAACTACAGTTCTACCTGCAACTTCCTTGACAGCAGAAAGTGCAAGCTGCTGAAACCCAGCTTCACCTTCTGCATCATCTTTGTTCATATATAACATTCTTCTTTTCTTGTTTGTTTTACTTTCACTCCCAATTCCACTCACTTCAGAAGAAATTTCCTTTTCAATGACCGACCATACTCCATTGTTGAACTGTAGGAAGCAGTTCTCTCTCTTGGAGTCTATTAACAGGACTGCCACTTTGGTTATTGGCCATCCTTTTATTATACTTGAGATATTAGCCGAAGCATCCAGCAAAGTCTCGGATATGGTGCATGCATCCATAATTGCTTTCTCTGTTAGTGAAAGCTGATTTTCAGGGTCATCTATAATGGGGCGATCAGATTGACGCATGTATTTCATATGGTGTAATATACTCGGTTTGAACATAATAGCCAAGTTACAAAACTGGTCAAACTTTAGAAATTCTCTTTTTTGGTGGTGCTTTATGTGATAGTAATTGTAAAGTACCGCAGCAGCATGAACCTGAAATCAGACCAGATGCAGAAGCAATTAGGGATTGGGTGCATGAAATTTTGAACGATCCTCAAACCTATGTGTGGCACAAAAGTTTAAAGGAAAACCACAAAAAAATGAAAAACTAAGGAACACCCTGATAGCCATTCATCTGTGTGGTATGCACATGTGCATACAAGTAATTTGTCTGGTATGCACATGTGCATACAAGTAATTTGTCTGGTACGTACAAGTGCATAACATGCACACGTGCATAGAAACTAAAAAACATCTTTAATTACATATGCATACCATACAGATGAATGGTTATTTTTGGGAGGTTTTCCCTGAACCTCACTCACATATACATAATATATAATATATGCGTGTGCATGTGTTACACGAAGTAGTCAAGTAACTTAACCCGTCATTAAATAATCTAAACTCATACAAGAATAATCCACCAAAGTACTTGATTAAACTCTCTTAAAAATCACACATAAATAACAAGCCCATGAATACTAATTAAAAAAAAAAAGATATATATTGAAAAGGGGAGAAAACGTAAAGCAGAAACGCGCAGAGGAGACATACAGCAGAAAAAACAGACTACTGATGAATGATATAACAAAAAGGAGAGGATAGAAATGGAAAATAAAATGGCAAACCAAAGTTATCCTAAGTCCAAAAAGGTGACTTATTTGGTTTTAATACAATCCCATATAAGATGCCAAGTGTTTGAAACATTTGTTTCCGTTTTGGAGCTGGAAGCATTTGAAGTCTTGAAGCCAAAAACTAAAATAATAAAATAATAATTGAATCTCACCCACACCACAGCCAAATTTGAACCGACCCTGATTCATCCAAGCGGTATCGAAGCTCTGTTGAAATTCTAATAAATGGATGTGCAACCTATAATTATTCGACTGCATCCACACTGGTATTGCACTTGGTGGGGATACAACACTATACTAAAGTAAGTTGCTTCACAGGATTGGACCTGCATCTGCACATCTACCTTATATCTTCATGTTTTCCCTTCATGATGAAAAACCTTTTTTCCGAAATCCTAGACATTTTTTATCAACCACTAATCCTGTTTCATTTCCTCATCAAGAAACTCTAGTGCAGCCTTAAACAAGGGTTGTCCTAACTATATCAGAATTAATATGCCTCTCGGGCCGTCCTCCATAGCCTCTCACTTCCTGGATGAACCATTGCTATGCAATCTCGCAGGCGTGTAGCTCAGTTGGCAAGGGGCACAGCGACTTTGCCCAAATACAAGACAGGTCCCAGGCTCGATTCATCCCCCCTCCCCCACTAGCCTCAGCCGCTGAGTGAGCCAAAAAAATGCCCCCTCACATTGGTATCCTTGGAGGCGAGTTCCATGTGGGGCCAGTTGGGGTTGCCGGTAATCAACTTTTTGCCCAAATTGTTATGCAATCTCATTAGTTCCTTATGAGCTCACATCAAGGCTCCTCCTGCACATGCTACCTTATAATTTGATGTCAGCATGCCATAGAGGGGATGATGCTTGAAAGAATTAAAGTAATAATTATGAGGAAAATCTAGATTTATACAAAATAAATCATGAAAGAATAGAAGGAAACAATATCAAAACAAACAGAAATGGATGAACCCATTCAGTAGTTTATTAATGGACAAGCCAACAGGGCCTAAGCAAGACCAAAAAAATCAGATGCATGATCGCAAAAAGGGGAGACCTGTTCAGCAACAGACTTCTGTTGAGATTCAGATGGAATTCTCTTTGAAATGTCGCTATGCTTCAAAGGTAGCAATGGACCAACCAAATATTCCATTAATGCTTGAACAGTCTCTTCAATTGGTCCAACCTCTATGTCCATGGTCCCTAGATTTCATCAATTCAAAATATAATTAGAAGGAAAAAGAATATTAAGAGGTTAAAAAGATCATGAAATATACATTTTATGCCTACCAGCATAGATTCTACTTCCGACCATTTGAACTGTAATTTTTCATGCTAGAAATTAGACAAGTTTAACTTCAGACATCAACCACAGACACAGAAATACTAGTAAGGAAGATATTAAAGAAAAACAAGAAGAAAAATGGTCAAAGACGAGGACGGTCTGAATTTGTTAGGTTTATACGACATTTTGCCATTTTGATAAATCTAGGTCATAAATTCAATGAAACCCATCATTCAAGAAACAAAAAAGCAAAACAACAACAATAACAAAAACCAAAAACAGATTTAGATAACGTTTTAATTAACATTTAATTGATACAAATTCTAAGAAAATAATACATTCTAAAGCCAAAAAGGGGAACAATTATACTAAAAGGAAAAAGATCCAAGACAACAAGGGTCTGAATTATAAGATTTATACAATGTTTGTCATATTTTAGAACCAGGGCAGCCAAAGAAACTAAAGCAATCAAAATTATTGAACTTTACATACTTTGATCAATCTCAGTTCTAAAATCCAATTCTCAACAGATCATTAGATGAGGTTTCCATGTAAATTTTCTTGAATTGAAAATTTGAACACATAAATTCCATGCTAATAGAGCAGGAAAAAAGCACAAACTAACAAGGGAAATACATCAAAGATCACGAGTGGACCTATTCATGCCTGAGTGGGGTCCTGTGCACCTACTCAACTAAATTTCGAAGTAAAATTCTTTTTTGGGTATGAAAGGTGCACTTTGAGCTACTAGAAATACAAGAAACATCAAGAAGAAAACCAAAAAAGTCCTTCTACATCAACCAAAAAACCGAAAGAATCTCTAGAAATCAACCAAAAAAACTGAAAAAAATCCTCAAAATCAACAAAAAAAAAAAACTTAAAAAATCCCTCAAAATGGTGTCTAGTGGCCTCTGATCCAGTGCACCGCGCGTGGCAAAAATATTGGCTCATCCACTATCAAAGATAACGGTGGTTCAACCATTAGGTTTTTACAAGATTTAGCCAAAATTGTGAACTGTAAGCCAATTAACTAAGAACAAGTAGAGGTTATTAAAAATCATGCATCCCTTTAATAAATCCCATTTCTACAGCATCCAAAATTTCAATTCCAGCAGATAAACATAATTAACTTGCAGGTCTATGTACAAATTCCAAGCACAAAGCTTTAGATGATATGCTAGAAAAACTGAAATAGGCACAAAATTAGAAGGAAAAAAGAAGAAGAAAATGTTGGGGTTCAAACATCGTTTTGACAAATTATGGGTTTCACGTCACTTCGATCAATCATGTTGACAAAAACCCTAAAGAGTGAAGTTCTTGAAATTTTCGAACATACCTTCGCAGCCCATTATCCGTTGACAAGAGTCTTTGACAAATCAAATTCAGTCTCGTGAGAGTAGACCTTAATTACATGTACACACATTCTCTTCAGAACATTGCTGCTATATTGTTTGAATTGCTTTAAAGTTCTATCACTCTTAAAATCCATAAAATATCAAATAAATTTAATAATATTAAAAATTATATCTTGGTTTTAATGTTTTATATATTCTTTATCTATATATTAATATTAGAAGCATACTCGAACAATGCAGCGAGATATATCATGATTTTAATATTTTATTTTATTTTTTATCTCAGTCGATGTTATAATATGGCTTTATGTGATGTTGAGAAAGCGATGATTTTTTTATTTTTGAATAAAATATATGTTTGAAGATATCATAAAAATTTGACAAAAATATATCGATATTAGTATCAAATTAACTATTTGAAATTCCTTAT